GAGAGAGAGAGAGAGAGTGATGAGAGTCAGAGAGAAATCGTGGATGGAGAGGTGGAGAAAAAAAAAAAAAAAAGAGTACTCACAGTCGTCCTAGTTTGGGGTTGGACTGGAAGAGAAGCTCTGGGAGAAACTGGAGTTTGTTTCTGTTCAGGCGACTACAGGGAGAAACAGAAGGAGAAAAGAAATAAACTCAAGGCGACAACACGCTCTTAATAAATCACTCTGATATTGTGTTGACGGAACAATCGCCACACAGCTGACTGAATCACCGCGAAGGTCAGCGGGTTCAAACTCATGGGAAAGTCCGTCTGGTTTCCTGTATCCGTGGCCTACAGGTTATCGCACAGTGTTTTATGTATGCGTGTCAGTTACAGGTTATCAGTGTTGAAGCTCCGTAATCATCCTCACATATGCTCTGAGGAGAGGAACAAGTTTGTGCTACTGGTGTTGAAAGATCAGCAGAAGTAAGACTGATCCAGGATGATCCACTCCAACGACACTACTCTTTGTACGTTTACAATGTACTTTGGCAAAAGTCTTAATCTGTTTTGTCCTTTTATGAAAAGACTGAATCATCAATTAGAGGATTATAAGAGAGCCAAGTGCACTGCTGTGTATCTGAATGGTAAAAAAAAAAAAACTTACTGGCTTAGCTTAATCTTACTGACCTATTTTTTTTTTCTCATAGGAAAAAATTTATAAAATGCAAGAGCTTTGCAGAGGAATTCATACTCACTAAATACTTCTCATATATAGAACTGATAGTTCATCCATCGTGCTCACTGTACATGTGGTCGACGCACCCGGCCTCAAGAGAAACATACCAAAAAAGGCTCTTTCAAAGAATCGATCCTGTCTATATACAAAACTTTAGAAAGTGCAGCAAACAAGTAAAAAATGTACACAAGTATTTATGTGGACAGGCTGCTTTTACTCATAGCAGAGCAACAAAAACAACTTCTGATTATGACAATATGGATGTATAGTTTAAAAAAGAAAATCCATTTCTGTTGATCAACATTAGCACCTGTCTTGGTATTATTTCTAACAAACCTTCATCATGTTTTTCTAATGACGTTAATATGAGATTAAACAAATATTCTCATGCCCAGGTCTGTATTATATTTTCTATTTCCATTCCTTGCTTAAGTAAGTTGAAAGGCGCACGCATTGAACACATGGCAAATATTTAAACAGAAAAGACAGGCAGAAGAAGATGGAGAGACTGAAAGAATGGTGCCGTGAAAGCAGCGAAGAGTGTTTGAGAGTGAACGATGTGCATGTGTGCAAAAGCAAGGTGGGGTTGGCCGCAGCGGAGATAGATGAGGACAGCGCGAGCAGAGGGAGTGAAAGTGTTATCAGGCTACCAAAGCATTTTGGGCTGAGGAACGAGGCGTGGAAGGGAAAGAGAAAAGACGAGGAGGGCGGAGGGTCACGGGGTCACGAGGCAGAATCTGTGTCGGAGAAGACACAGACACCAACCTTTTAACCTCTGGATAATGATAATAAGACCCTGACTTTCACTCCTGCGTGCACAAATGGAAAGAGAAACGCAGTCCAAAAAGAGACACCCACCATTTGAAATAATTGACCCCTGCTCCTAGAAAATAACTGCTCGTACGAAAAGCAAAGCACATGATCAGCTACTATTACAGTCGTGAGTCATTTTAAGACTCACAACACAGTTATGGTTTTTAAAGGAAGAATCCTTTGTGTATCTTCAAGCAATAATGACGACTTATTTTTCTACTTGGAACCTTTGAAATCACACCAGACCACAAGTCTATGGGCACTGTATTTTTTAAAATTTGGAAAATTATCCCCCCTATTAGTCCGATTCACAGTAAAATCTACAAGAAATAGTTTGGAAACCTACAGAAAATAATTTCACTGGGTTTTTTTTGTAAAGAAAACGAAATAAAAAAGTTGACAAAGCTTCAGTTCTTTTTGTAGGAAATCCATCAATTATATTCACACACAGCACTAAAACAGTGGATCATCACATTCTGACATTTCACAGTCTTTTACCCGTGACTTTATAACTCACGGATTGACATAAATGAACGTCTTCTCTCGAGGAGACGACTACAAAAGCTCCATGTTTTTCACATTGTGACTCCATAAATCACACGGACTCAGCACCCGGACCTCTCACCTCTGACCTATCACCCCGGCAGACACAACATCAGAGACCCTGTCAACTAAGCATTTTAAAAACCATTTCACTATCAGTAAAGTAGAAGGCACAATTTAGGACCCTCACTCTTACCATTGCTGCACTGCAGGAGAAGTTTTTTTTAGCCAAAACAGAGATTAACTTTGGGTAAAGTGCCATTCTTAAACAGTAATGTGAATTAAATGTACTTTCAGTCTACACTTTAAGGACTACCTTAAAAATGCACTGAATCATATCTTGAAATGACGTGGATCAATGAAAAACCTTCTCTCATGTGAATTTTGACGCTTTGCCCGCCAAACCTCCTCACCCTCTCATCTGTAGCCTCTGACCTGTCCTGACACACTGTATTAAGGGGCCTTTTCACATTAAAGCAGCTCATCACCTCACACTTTCACTATCAGACGTGTGATCTCCATTTGGAGCCACATGTTGCTGTCACTCAGTGTCTCTCAAGACTTTGTCGAGTGTTGGAGAAGTCTGCTGACGGCTGAAGTGAACTGCTTTGTCTCTTTTTATGTCTCCATTACCCCGCTGTAGCTACAATGCCACCCAGTTGTCCAGAGACTTTTATTTTGAAATCTTAAAAAAAACATTCCTACCTGTTCTCGCTCTTGTAGAACCTAAAGTGTTCTTTTCAAAGCAAATCAATGAAATCTTAAAAGAAGCTGAGCAACATTCATCACTCTGCAGTCACTTACAAACATCCTATGTTTATGTACAGTCGTCCTCAAATTTATAAAGAAGGACGAGTTATTTGAGTGACGATTGTGAATTTGCTTTTTCTTTAATGGAAGGGTATGAATACATTTGAGGACGACTGTATGACTGCAAAAGTACATTTCAGAAAGATGGTGACCAATTAACAGTATCTAGATAGCTAAAGACATTTTTTTAAATTACTTTAATTGAAAAATAAACTGCACGAACAAACAAATTAATAGAGAAATTAAATATTCAGCTTGTAAATTCAACATTGCTACGACAGCCAGTTTGCTAAGTTTAGAAATTCTGTCCTCATCTGAAGGCCACCTTTATAATTGGCAAAGGGGGCCCAAAGGGGATTAGTTTGTCTTTGTCTCTCATGTGACAGAATCATCTTCCTGCAGAGCTGTCTGCCCATCAATACTCCGACACAGAGTCATAAACAGGCAGGTGTGTGTGTGGGAAGTGTCGTGTTGTACACTGACACCTCCATTCTGTTGACTAGAGCCTTGGTGTGAGCTGACGGATACACAAACACACACTCACACACACACACACACACACACACACACACACACACACAGGGAAGAAGGCAGCATCTATGGGAGATTCCATGGCGAGGTGTGAAGTGGATGGACTTGGGTATCAACCAGGTACACTCTGTGTGAGCACACTTTACAGAACAGACATGCAGAAGGAGTAAATCAAAGGCACTTCTAAAAATAAGAAAAAAAAACACAGTAGTAAGTCAAATATGTGTGACTTTGTGTTCATGGATGTCCATGTATGCATACTTTGTGTGTGTGTGTGTAGCCTGGTGGATTTTTTACATGCCTAGAATGCTTTCTTTTTGCATCAGGTGCTGAGTTCACACTGCCTAGTTTTCTCCCTCACACCCCCAGTTAGCAGCGTAACATGGCATACTCACAGTCTCTCCAGCAGCCTGAGGTCTTGGAAGGCTCCTCTCTCGATAACACTGATTTGGTTGTCCTCCAGATGACTATAGTGACGAGCATAAAGAGACAGAGAGAGAGAAGAACAACACTTGTAGTTTAAAAATGCCGAATTCAAAAGCAAAAGCAAGCGAAGTCACAAGAGAGACGTGACCGTGGATGTCAACGGGAGGCAATGATATGAGTGACTTTACACAGTTGCAGGCAGCACGTCTTTTAAAAGGATTCAATTTCAGTATCACATTGACAGGCAATCATGTGGATGCTTTCTGGCCAATGCAAACAACGAAAGAGACACTTTTCATATAAACAAGCGACACTGAACAAATGAGTCTGGCATGAAGCAACAGCTCAAAAAGTTGCAGCATTTGACAAATGGACAACTCAGCGATCCAAAACAAATAACTAACAACCCATCACTCTTCCATTCTTCATCTTTTCTCGTCCGTCGTCCAAGTGCTGCTCCCACTGTAACACATATTTCTGTGTTTACTCTCCTTCTCTGCTCTCTGTGTCTGTTGTCATGTTCTGGGGGCACGCTAAGGTTTTCCAGATGGGACAGAAAAAGAGAGAGAGAACCTCTCAACTGATATGTGTGTTTATATTTTCTGTCCGAGGATGTTAAGAGTGACATCTCCTGAGAGGGAGGAGGGGGAGAAAAAAAGAGGGGCTGATGTGAGGCAGAGGAAGAGAGGATGAAAAAGAAACTAAAGGGAAAAGAAGAGGCAGAGATGCAAAAAACAGTGAGACTCAGAATGACAAGATGGATTGAGTGAGCGAGGTATAAAAAGAAACGTGGAGCCAGAGAACGCTAAAGAAGTCGTATCAAAAAGAGACAGTGTCTGGCCTGCCATGTGGACTTTGAATTGTTTTGGCATGACCCTCCTTTAAATTTTCTTTCAAAGAAAATGTTTAGACATGAAGCTGTATTTCAGCCATTAATCCACGGTGTGTCATATGGGCTCGCTGCATAAACACACATGCAAATACACACACATCTGTTGGACTCACACTGAAACATACACTTGGATGAGAGATAACAGACGCAGACATACACAATGAAACATGCATTCAATTCATGCACATGTGTACTCCTGAAGAAAATGCAGTCTGCAGCGCTCTACATATGCATAGATGTATGCTCACTTATCCCCTCACTCGTGAAAATAAGACAAAAGAACAAAAAAAAATCGGTGAGAATGGATGTTAAAAGTATCATGTCATTTTGCACAATAAGCACTTCTTGGTTGTTGTTTTTCTAGCTACTTAAAGAAAGACTGTGAGGTGCTAATTTACATATTTTCATCATTATTCTCTCTCAATTTTCTATGACAAAAACATAGAAAAAAATGCACATACATGAGTTGTGTCAGAAAAGTTTCAGGACTGGTGTCACAAAAGATAGATTTCAAATACAAACTACAAACTACAAGTTTTCCCCTTCGGAGTAATCCCCCTGGAGTCTAACACACTTTCCCAGCCTTCTCTGCCACCATGCACTTTATTCTTCCAGGATCCTCCACAGCTTCATCATCACAGCCATCTTGATGTCGTCCACATCTTCAAAACGGGTCCACTTGATGACCCTCTTGAGCTTGAGGAAGAGGAAAAAATCCCACTGAGCCAGGTGGGGTGAGTAGGGAGGTTGCTCCAGCACAGCGATGTTCTTCTCAGCCAGGAACTGTTGGATGCTCAGGGTATTGTGAGCAGGCGTCATGGTGAAGCAGCCACGACTTGTCCTGCCACAACTCTCGCCTCTTCTTGTGCACTGAACGAAGCAAACGCTGCAGGATCTCTGTAGACGAGCTGGTTGGTCGTCTGAAGGGAAAAACTGGTAGTTTGCAGTTTGGGTTTGAAATACATCTTTTGTGACACCAGTCCTGGAACTTTTCTGACTCACCTCGTACTTATAAACTTTGCAGTTCATAATTACAGGAGGAAATTATTTACAAAAAATATATCTTTTTTTAAAAAAAACTCACTAATAATATTTGGTGAAAATTGTTTGAAAGAAAGAAAGAAGCTTCTAAACAGCTTCTAAACAGACAAACGATAGCAAATGTGCTGCAATCACAGTTTGAGAAACAAGTCCAAACTCTTACCTAACAAAGTCAAACACAAGCTGACAGGTGTAAATACACGCTGTACAGGGGATTCATAGACATGCACACCCAGCACTAATGAGCAACGTCAGATAAGAGTGTAAACATGTAAAACATAAACGGTGGTGAGGAGTCATGCACTGGTACAAAGAATTCTCAAACACACACACACACACACACACACACACACACACACACATAAGCATTTGCACATTCTTTCCCCAGCATCAATCATAATTTACAATCCAAACAAGATGAATCCTGCACGTTTATTCCATGTGTAGCTGCATTTTCTACATCCTGATGAGAAAAAAAAAAGGATATCCTGCAAACTCCGGGGAAAGCTAAATCAAGACATAACTTTGAATAACTATCAAAGTTTATTTGTCCAAATGAGAGATCAACCGCAAGCTGATTTATTGAAAAACGTTTAGATTAGCAAGGGAGGCCAAACACATGGCGCGGGGAGTCGATGCTGGCATATCGCTCAGATGAGGTATTGTTTTTATATTGGTCTGTATCAGGCATTAGTCATCCGCAGAGATGGAGAAAAGAGAACAAACAAGTATTGAATTCATGTGGGACTGGTGTGTCCAATAACTCTTTCATTCAACCCTGTTAGAAAGTCTTAGCAACCATTATAAAAAAGCACCATGATGTCACACCACCTTATATCAAACTGCGAGAACTTGGCCTCGGAAGGAAATAAGGAAATACTTCAGGGGATATTAACTTTACTTGTTGTTTACACACAATGGGTGAAACCACATTAACTTTCCAAAGCCAAATGTTCAATATCAGGCACAAGTTTTCACCTACATCTAAATTTGTTTGGAATTACTCAATTTCGCCACAATCTGGAAGAGATCTCGCAAAGAGCGGCTGCCAAAGAGATTACGCTAAGTGTTGCGCATGCAGTGTGCCTGCAGAAACTAGCTGCGTTTAAGTGCGCAGATTTCTCTTTTTTTTTTTTTAAGTATTGACGTTGCTGGATAGGATTACAAGTTTTTGGATGAACAGAAAATGATGCTAAACGTTTAATCAGATTACAGCCAACAGTCTGATTTAGGAGCTTTTATGAAGTCAGAGTTGGACGATTTAAAATTCCAACAAATGAGTCCAGTTAATTTTTATTTTTGTACTCTGATCACTGGAGATGTTAAAGCGCAACCAGATCATGTCGTTGTTTAGATGTTTTTAACAGAAGTCAGATTACATGTAATGGCAGACGTGTATTTTAACAGCAGGAAATATAAGTAATTAGTAGCTTGTACGTAAGCATGGGCATTGAGAGGTTTTTTTTTTCTCTTGCAGCCCATCATGGGAAGAATGTTAGACGCGTTAAAGTACATGCAGAGTTTTCCCATGGGAGGCATGTATGGCTGAAATGACCAGGAATCACAGAACCAGGCACTTGTGTGTGTGTACGAGAAAGAGAAATGTGTGTGTGTGTGTGTGTACGAGAAAGAGAAATGGAGTGTGAGGGGGAGATATCGAGGTCTGGTAAATAACATTAATACCCATTTGACTAAAGATAAGGCTAAAGGTGACCATGTATGGTGCCCATGTAAGCTTTTGTTCATCCCTTGATACGAATGTAAGAATGTGTGTCGGGAGGAAGCATGTATGTGTGTGTGTGTGTGTGTGTGCTTGTGTGTGTGTGCGCGCACTTTAAAGTGTACTTTCTCAGACTATCTCCTCTTTCCCAAGCAATCTCCTCCCAATTTCTTTAAGAGATTTAGCGTAGGGAAATGTCACAGCAGTTTATCACCAACCACATGAAACAAGCTGCTGGCCCACCACACGCAAACACACACACACACACACACATGCACAGCAGTTTTACCTTGTTCCTTCCACTCTGTCTCATATACACTGAAGGCAAATACTTAAATCGTTTCTTTCTCTTTACTGTTTTGTTGAAAGTTTGTGAGTACATCAACCCTCTGAACCAAAAAAAAAAAAACTGCCAGTGGGTTTAAAACGCATGCTATATTTGAAAGAAGTATTGCCAAACCTTTTATCACAGAAAGAAGTCATAAAAACAGGGAAAAAATCATTAGATTTTAACCTTTTTGACAGTTCATATATTACCCGTCTGTGATGCATCGTCTTACTGGAAAACATAAAATTTAAGCTTGAAATAGTAATATTTCATTAAGCTTGCTTTACTCTACAGGTCTCATGTAAAGACGAACCGAAACTAAACCATTTAATCTAAACAGATTCTCTAAAAAACTAAAAAATTCTGTGCTCCTTACAGCAACTGGGAAGTTATTAGTTGCGAATAAGAGTCACAGGACAAAAATCAGGGGCTTTTCAGCTGAACTGCAAACTGAGTTCACACAGTGGAGATAGTAAATATGGAAACAAATTTTAAACTATGTGTAGTAAATGTCTATAGCATGTAAAGCAACATATTTTTTCCATTTTGGTGCTCCTGCTGACTTTGCACATGTTGATATTGTTCTTTTTCAGTTTCTGTAAAATGAATAATTACGATTTTAACTCCCTATTTCTTTGCCATTTGAGGCATTATGCCTGTGTCAACCTGCACAGAGGACATTTCTGAGTCCCCTCTACCTCTAGCCATGGTTGTGCTGTTTCCATAGAGGTGCTGGACTTCATATTGCAGTGAACAATGAGCCACAGTGAGTGAGAAATGTGACAGGAGGAAACAAACAGCCAGATACTGTCTGGGCTTCACAGGGTTAAACTGATATAAGTTCCAAAATCCACTATGGTCCTAACAAGGAAGAGTCTGGTTAAACAAATATACTTACAAATGCAAACGCACACATGCAGAAACTCATTACCACTCCTCAGCGTCGTTTGTGCTGGAAGTGTATTTTTATCTGCCGGTCTGGTTAAAACTGAGTGAGGAGGGAAGCTGCATGCAGCCAGCGGTGATTATAGTTATTAAAGCCCCACACACACACACACA